TGGGAGGAGTTAAGTCATTGAGTTAATGAAATCACCTAGGGAGGGTTATAAGGTTGCAACCTACCCCTTCAGAGTACTGTCAATCTTGTTCCATTTTCCTGTGGCATTTAAGTATTACAGAGGAGGAATCTGAAGACAGCCAGTTTTTAGCTTTTTTATAAACTTTTTTTCTTGATTGGAGACTATTAATGTTTGTTCTTTATCCCTGAAATTTAACAATTTTTCTGGATTATGTCCTGAAGTTGGTTTCTGCTTATTTTCTGGATTCTAGTGAAGCCACTCAATTTCCCACCTCCACCTCAGATCTTTTTCCACCTAACGAAACTTTTCTCCCATTATAATTGTGGGGTTTGTCTGTTTGTTTGTTTTTGTTTTTGTAGAGGCAAGGTGTCATTATGTTGCCCAGGCTGGTCTTGAACTCCTGGCCTCAAGCGATCCTCCCACCTTGGCCTCCTGAAGTGCTGGGATTACAGGTGTGAGCCACCACTCCAGCCTCCCATTATAATTTTTATTATTGCTTGTCTTTCTCTGGAGAATCCCATGGTTTGAATCCCCATGATGCTCTGCATCCCCACTCTCTTCTGTCTTAAAGGATTCCATCACTTTATTCTGTATTCTCGAAATTTTTCTCAAGTTTATCTTCTATAATATATTGCCAGTTTGCTCTTCTGCATCAAGTCTGTTTTTTACCACTTCAACCTTTGCTTTTACTTTGGTTATGTGGTTTTAATATCATGGTACTCTCCATTTATCTTGGTGTTTTCTAAAAAAAAAGAAGATGGAATGTCCTCTTTCAATCATGAATAAGAATTAGGTGTTTTCTAAAATTGGGTTCTGTTTCAGTGAAGAAACTCCTTTCAATGGAGTCATTTTTGGCTCTACCACTTTATTCCTTTTCTTATGTGTCATATACTTTTTTTTCCCCACGGTTTGTTTGTTTGTTTTAGGAACCTGTCTATTCTCCTTTGAGATTGACTAGTTGATCTCTGTTGTTGTCTGGAAGTCCAGAGCTGATGGCCTTAAAGAGGGAAGTGTTGGACAATGGAACTGTCACTTTCCCGTCCCCCTTGATGGCATGGGAAACAGTTCAGAGGCAGTGACTGGATCATCTTCCGTCTCATCGTCTTAGCTCTTCTTGGTATCCACCTGCTTCAGAATTCTAATTTTTATTTTTCAACCTCTGGTGTCTGTGACTATTCCTGAGCCTCAGTGTATCCATCTCTTTTTCTCCAAATCTTTTTGTTTCGGTTTTAGTGATTCCAGGTTTGCATTTATATTTCATGATGTCCTATGTCTAAATTTCTGCTCATCTATACCAATCTGGGTCTCAGCCTCTGAGCGCAAATGCCTTTCTCAGGTGTTTCAACCCACTACTTCTAGTCTCTTACTTTGTTTTGTATTTCTTCATAGTTCTTTATTACAGCTTGAGTATTACATCTATTTGTATTATATCTTCTCTCTAGAAGGCATCTTCTACGAGGGTGGCTCCCCAAGGACATGATGGGTGTTCAATAAATATCTGTTGAACTAACCTGATTAGCGGCTCCTCTCTGTCTTTTGTCTGGGTCTCGACATGAGTGTTTCACACTTTCTCAGTATGCAAAGGTCTTTCTGGGCCTCGGTCCGGGTTCTGTCCTGGTCTCGAGGCCTCTACATGTATCAACGTGTGGGCCACGGTTTCACAAAGGCCTGTCCCAGGCTGGCCACCGGTGGGTGCCGCGTCGTCAGGCCTCACGCCCAGTCGGGGTCGCTCGCTGGTTCCGTTCGGGCCCGGCTCCGGAGTTTGTCCCAGCCTTCGCAGTCTCTCAGCTCAGGTCAGCAGTTCTGTGCGGACGTCTAGACCTCCCTCGCGGACTCCCACGCCCGCGCACGTGACCACATCCACCGGCTCCTCCCCAGCCGCCGCGGTGCTCCGCCCTTCGTTCGGCGCTTCCGCCCGCCCGCGCGGCCCCGCCCCCAGGCTGCGGAAGCCAATCCACATGCACGCTTCTTGGCCCCGCCCTGGCGCCCTCCTCGGCGCGCGCCCCGCCCTCCACCCGCCCGCCCGCCGGCCCGCCCGTCCGTCAGGCAGGCAGCAGGCAGTCGGTCCGAGTGGTCGTGGGCTCTTCTCCTCTCCTGCGCGGCGTCCTTCTTCCTCCCTCCCGGTCAGCACCGGCGGCTGCACCGGTGGTGGCGCGGTCCCTGCGGGAGGCGCGGCAGGAGTTGCGCGGCGGCCGCGGAGCTTCCAGCCCAGCGCGGCGGAGGCCCGGCAGCCAACATGGCGGCGGCGGCGGCGGCGGGCGCGGGCCCCGAGATGGTCCGCGGGCAGGTGTTCGACGTGGGGCCGCGCTACACCAACCTCTCGTACATCGGCGAGGGCGCCTACGGCATGGTGTGGTAAGTGTCCGCGCCTGGCCCCCACCGTCCGGGACCGCAGCGACCTCGGCCTCGCCCGCGCCTCGGCCTCCCGCGCAGCCGCGACCCCTAACCCGGGCTTGGCCGCGGTCCGCGCGCCGAGGGCTCGGGCGGGGCCCTGGGACGGTCGAGGTTCAGGTGTCGCTAGCGGCGCTTCCCGGGCCGGCCCTCGCTCTCCACGGGGAGGGGCACGGAGGGCGGAGGCCGGGACGCGGTGACCCCCGGACCCGGGCGCAGCGCGGACTTTAAAGCCTGACCCCGGAGAAGGGAGCAGAAGCATCCCCACCCACCAATTTGCTGGCTTCATGGGCTTCTTTTTGACATCCGATTGTAAAACCCGGAATTCCATCAGAGGCTTGGCGGCCGTGGTCTTGAAAGCAGTTCACCGAAATAATTATCATTTTTCTCTCCTCGCCTCCGTTTACCGCAAACGGCTTTCATTAAATATTTTCGGTGGTGCTAATGGTGCTCTCCTGCGCAGGCTTTCTAAAAAGCATTAGTGACACCAGCGTTGGTTGTAGAATATTTCACTCTTTAAGTTTTTATTTTTAAATGGATTTTGATATCGTACTGTTGGTATTTCAGGAAGGATAAGCCAGTATCACTCTTTATTTGTTAAAGATCCGTTTGGAGTGGGCCTAATTTGACTTTTTTTTTTCTTTACCCAAGTGAGCTCTCTCACTAGTATAAATGCATCCAGACGTTTTAGCCCAATTACTGTGGACTTTTCCTGTTAATGTTTTAGTGGTCAATATATACGCAGCCTTAATGGAATTCTTGCAGAATCACATGCAGGCTCCCTCATCTTGATCTAGGTCCCTCAGAAAAATTCGTGGAATGGTGGTGATGGTATTGTTTTTATTAGAATGAACTAGATGAAGTGTTTCGTGCTGATGAAGACTTGTGGAAGTAGATTCCCTTAAATCTGAATCTTCTTGTAAGTGTCTTTTGTGTCGAGTGAAGTAAATTTGTTGAGCGCTTTGTGGCAGGTACTGTGCTACATACATTACTTCATTTTATTGGAGCAGCCACATTGAGGGAGGAAAAGATGATGTTATCCCCTTTTTCAGGTGAGAAAGTATTTCAAGGTGAAGCAAATTCCTAAGGTCATAGAACTAAAGAGTCAGACTGAAGATTGTAGACAGAGATCCTACTTCAAATGGTGCAGCTCTTTTCATGACACCCTGCTTTCCTTATTGTTATTAATAATTTCATAATTTTAGTGTATTTTACTCTTATAACCACGGCTGTTTCAGAAATGTATTTGAATTTGAATGGTCATAATTTTAGAAATGCAACTGAAGGCATGTTTTACCAAGTATCTTAGCTAGGTAGAAAGACTAATTAAAATTCTTTCTAAAAAGATTTTAATTAAATCTTAAATGTTTTCATTTTCTTTAGGAACAAAATGCTTCACAGAATACAACTGTGAAAATTAGTGTGAACTCACCAAAGAGAAATTAAATTAGGTCAGGCCTCAAAGAAATAAGGCCCTAAAAAGTAATGGGGAGAAAGTATTGCCCACAGCATCACTTCTTTGTCGCACATCTTATTGCTATTGCACCTGCTGGTAAGTGTGCCCATAAACGGGTCTAATTATGAGAGGCTTAGAATTGCCCTTCATATCCTTTGGCCCCTTTTAAAAAACTAGCTTATCTAAAATATGGACTGGAAAAAAATCTTTAGGTTTAGAATATGTCGGTTGAAAAAATTTTCCCCTACCTGATAAGATTTTGCCCTGATAAGATTTTTACTGGTCTGAAGATGATATAGATCTGGGAACTGTTTCTATCACTGCTGTAGACTTATTTAATGTTCTGAGTCTCTAGATGAAATGCCAGGTCCTCGTGCTGTAATTTTCCTTCCCTAAGTAAAATAGAAATATAGTTGGAATTTGAATCCTGGGCCCAGGTTATAGACTTTTATCAGATTGATGATATATCCTACTATTAATTTAATCTTCTACATTGCACATTATTAGTGTTTAATATGTGTTGATTAACAGTGCTGGGTTAATGGAGGGCTTCTTGGTTGAAGTGTTAATATTTGAATAGCAATCTTTAAAAAACTTAATGCTTACAGAAGGATTTCATGCAGGGGTGGGGAACCTGTGGCCTTTGGCCTTCTATGTCCTTAAGTGTGGCATTTTGACTGAATCTAAATTTTACAGAACAAATCATTTTATTAAAAGGGATACAGCAGAGAAAGATGAAGCGTGTTTTTGCTTCTTTGGTGCTTGAAAAAGAACAACCTTGAAATCAGAAGGCTACAGGTTCCCCACCTGTGAAAGGATTTCCAGCCATTTTGTAGCATTTTCCCCCCATTTCCTTATCATTTCGTTAGGAATTGTGCCTGTTTTGCTCAGCGTCCTTTCCTAATCATGTAGAAGGTATAAAGAGGGAGAACAGGGTTTGAGTTGGGCCTGTTAGTAGGTGTGATTTTGATATACAGATAACAGGAGCAAGTGACAGCTTGAGCTGTGGAGTCTAATTCTGGAAAAGCACTTAGGTGGCAAACTGTAGAGGACTCCAAAGCCAAAACTGAGTTTGACTGTACATTTGTGCAATGGGGAAGCATCAACATTTTTGAAGGCAGCATTCACGTGGCCAATTTTGAAATTTTGGGGGGGGGTGATCCGTCAACACTGGTGGGAATGACAGGAAACAGAACTGGAGCGGGGGAATCAGTGAGGCTATTGTGAGCATCTAGAAGTGCAGTAATTCAGTGGCAGTGGAAAGCACCAGTGGAAGGGGAGGGCGCCTTGTATAGATGCATCCATAGAGTCAGTAACAGGGGCTTTTGTGGGAAGACTGATAGAATTTTAATCATGGCAGGTTTGAGTGGAAGTAGAGGATGATGAGACCTTAAGGGGTAAGAGACCAAGAGGAGTGGGATTTGGATTCGAGAGGGATTTCTGAGATAGAACAAGACAGAGTTTGGTGGTTGATTTGGTATAGGCATAATTGTTCATTCCAAGGCTTCTACCTTGGGAGCCTGAAAGGATAGTGATGTCATTATCCAAGAGAAGGAGTCCTGTTAGGCAGAGCAGATTTGTCAAGGAGAAATAGTTCTGGTTTGGACCTGTTAAGTTTGTGATGCTTGTATGCCATTCGGACTATATCCAGAAGGCATCTAGAAATTTGTGAGTGGGGAGCAGAAGATGGGGATGAAAATTTGTGTAAATGATAGTTAAAATCTTGCATGGATGAGCACACATTTTTATTTGGAAGCATGTGTTTTGTATATTCATTGTTTTGGTGAATAATCCATAGCATTCAATAGGTCTTCAAAGGGCTCCATTATCCCAGAAAGGTTAAAAAACCACCGAGGTTGAACAGAAGGACCAAAGAGGTAACTCTGGCAAAGGAAGAGGAAATGGAGGACTGGTGAAATGTGTAAGAGAACAGTGGAGAGGACCGGGAGGGTAAGGGAGGAGAAATTAAAGCTGTATGCTTGATCATCTTAAATTAAGATAGCAAGTGTCTACTTGGGTAAGTTGAGTTTGAAATATTGTTTGTGAATGTGACATAGAGGTCATGGGGTCATCTCTGTAAAGATACTAATTGAAGGCTTGAGAATGGATAAGATGAGAGAAGATCTGAGAACTGAGCCAAAGGAATGCCTGCCTTTAGGTGTCAATAAAGGGCAAGTCACAGAAGAAGACACAGGAAATGTGGTCAGAGACCAGAAAACCAGAGTGCACATTATCAAAGGAGCTGAAAGAGGTGGTGGTGGTCACTGCGGGATTGGTATTGAACACTGCAGAGGACAAGCAGAACGCGGCTGAAGACAAGCTGTTACTATTTGTTGTCTTTCAACTCTCCCTTTTTTTTTTTTTTTTTAAAGGATTGGTCCAGCTAAAATTTCATTGTGATCACATTCCTGAGGGTACAATATCCTGTCCTGTTAAGGTTTTTATGGCTATAGCAGACTAGTAGAACTACCATTTATTCAGCCCTCTGTTTTCTTTGTTTATTTATTTTTTTGTTTGTTTGTTTGTTTTTTTTGAGACAGAGTCTCACTGTGTTGCCCAGGCTAGAGTGCCGTGGTGTCATCCTAGCTCACAGCAACCTCAAACTCCTGGGCTCAAGCGATCCTCCTGCCTCAGCCTCCCGGGTAGCTGGGACTACAGGCATGTGCCACCATGCCCGGCTAATTTTTTCTATATATTTTTAGTTGTCTGATTAATTTCTTTCTATTTTTAGTAGAGACGGGGTCTCGCTCTTGCTCAGGCCGGTTTCGAACTCCTGAGCTCAAACAATCCGCCTGCCTCAGTCTCCCAGGGAGCTAGGATTACAGGCGTGAGCCACCGCGCCCGGCCTGTTTTCTTTGTTTTTTACATAAATTAACTCTCATCCTTAGGACACACACCTAGGAAGTGATGGAGCAGCCCAGTCTGTCTGGTTCCTCAGTAATATTCAACCAAAGATCAGAGTAGAGAAAACGGATTATTTCAATAACAGAAAATATCTGTTGTCGGCTTTTGCTTATGTCGCTTTTTAGCCTTCCTTAAAACCTTTCATGCAAAGTCAGAAAACATTTATTGAGCACTTGCGTGCCAGGAGTCACGTGGTCCCTGCCCTTTAGTAACTCTTCATCCAAATAATGGCATGAAATTGAGCAGTAACACAGGGACTATACCAGTGCTATTCAGGAGGATTGTGTGAAGTGTGTGAGAAAAAGGCTTGAGTGACGTGGGGCTGTCTTTATATGGCTTCCCAGACTTTTAAACTAGGTGTTGATGTGTGACTAGGAGTTTGCCCTGAGAAGTGCATTCTGAAGTATGGAAACACATCAGGCCAGGAAAACTATAAGTTATTTGGGCTGGCTGGAGGATAGAGGTGTCTTAGGGAGAAGGCTGGAGTTGAGACAGCTGAGGTAAGCAGGGCCAGATCCTGAAGGGCACTGTTTGCTAAGGAGTTTGGACTTGATCTTGTACGTGATAGAAAGTCCTTAAAGAATGGCCCTCTTTCTGCCACTTC